TTATATTAAGAGTCCCCTTCATATTTAATTATCTCTATTTTTGAATTAGGTTAAGAATTATTTTTTAATATTAATTGTTATTAAAAAATAAAATTTAACATTTATTTAATCAACCATTCAATTAAAACAATACATATAACATTAATGATAAAATTAACGTCAATTTTTGGTATGTTTAATACTAATTAATATAAAAAGATATATTAATTATACCATTGACTTATACTCTTAACGTATATATTAGATAAATCTAATATAATTCAAATTATGAAATGAAATTTTTTTTTAATATATTAATAAAAGAAAATTGAAAAACAATAATGCTATTAACTTTGTCTTCTTCTTTTTTTTCAAGATAGAAATTAGAGGAGTAGAAGGTGGGGAAACATCGATGTATGGTGGGGCTCAAACTGTCGAACATGGTACCACCACAACCAAGGATGCGCGACCTAGTGGTGCTGAATGCTACTAACTTACGTGGAAGAAAATGAAAGAAATGATTTTTTTAATGAATAGAATCCACTTTCAAATGCAATTAAACAAGTGAACTAAAAGTCTAAAACAAGATTTTGTGAAATGTTTTATGTAAGAAACATTAACCTAATAAGAGATTCGCTATTATTACTAGAAATTTTGTTATATCACAAGAATAGTATCTTAAGCCTAGAAATTTTGTTATATCACAATAATAGTATCTTAAGCCAATAAAAATAATAATATCTCACTATATTAGAGATTGTTGAGATGATTGGAATTTTCCGATCAAGTAAATCGTTGCTAAATTTTAAGATGTTTAAATTAATTGGTTGGAGTTTCGAACTCCACCCACACTCGAAAAATTCCCCCTCTCAGTCCCCTAAATTGTAAACTATTAAAAAAAAAAAAAAAAGACTGTTGCTGAGATATTATCACAACTCAAAATAGACTAAGGAAAAACAGGAACAATTACTAATTGAATGAAATAAAAATAAAAAGCAACAAATTAATTGCCTCCAATTTTACCCTAAAATCACTGCATAAGTGGACTCACATTACTCTGGGCATCATATGTACAAGAAAAAACTTATACCTACTTAACACAATCAAGAACGGAACGGCATTCAAAGCCTAAACGATTAAGCGCAAGCTTGACCTCTAGTCGGCAGAGAAAACAGAGCGTCGAGATCGGGCGGCTGGAAATAGCCATTCTTCGGCGGATCCCGCTTCTTTCCACCGTATGATTTCTTCCTCGGAGGTGGCGGACACTCGAAAACCACCGGAATCTTACATCCTCTGCGCACCGGCGTCTTGCATCCTTCAGCTTCCTCTGTATCGTACCTCTCCATTCTCAGCCGCTGGAATATGCAAACATAAACAAGAACAGTAGACTGAGCTTAAAAAATATTTTTTTAAAATCTGAGAAATAGTGCAGAATTCAAAAATGAATAAGAGAATATATGCCGAATCTTTTTCAAATTTTTAAAAATTTGGGAAAGAGGTGGGAGAAGGGCGAACGGAGCGCTCCGGAAACGGAATGGACAATTGGTGGACGGTTTACAGCTAAGCAGGAGCTGGTTTCGTGAACGTGGCAGATTGGGATTGGGTTTTACAATCGACGTGGACTTGTTGGTACACGTGGCCCACGTACAACCGTGTTTTTTGGTGGGCTTTCAAAATAAGGCGGCACCAACCTTTGGGTCCCTTTTGCGCGGGAAAACTGTTGCTTTGAATCTTGACCGTCGGGTTTGTTTCCATTTTCGGAAATCGGGTTTGCGGTCGGGATTCGTTGGGTTTGAGTCCGGTGGCAGTAAATGGGCTTTAAAGACAGGGAGAGAATGGTCCTGCATTTGGGCCTGAAGACGGTGGCCCAATACTAGGATAGTTGGACTTGGACCGCGGGGACAGCTGGAACCGCTCCATTATCCACACGTGAAACGCGAGACAGTGGGGCCTCATTTCATTGCACGTGTCGCCAAAGCACACACCAGATGGCCCCACAAAAATAAAGGGTTGACTTTTGAGAAAACATCAACCTGATTCTTGCTCAGCTCCACCTGCGCCCACCATGGCTAACCGACGGAGGCTGCTGCTAAACCTAAGCCCACTCTGACAGTCAACCCATTTGTCGTGTAGTGTGGATGAGTCACGTTGTGTTTTCTAGGATTCAAAGTCAAAGCTGCAAATCTTAAATAATAATAATAAACTTCCCTCGCCTTGAAGCAACTGCTCGGCACCACCTAGCCGTTCTCAAGATAAATTTATATATTTCTATGATATATTCATCGACTTAAGAGTGTTTATTTTGGAATTTTAAAAGTAGTTTTTTTTTTAATATTTTAATTATTTAATAAAAAATAATCATCTCATATTTGTCATTATATTTTAATTATATGTCATACGATTTAAATTTAAAATTTTTTATTCACATACTATGTAATTTATATTCAAAATCTTTCATTTTTAACAATTAGAGATCACTATTAAAATACTTGTTCTAAAAATAATTATTAATTTCCATTGTTTAATCTTAATTAAATAAATTTATTACTTTAAACTATAAATAATAATAAATATTAATTTTTAACTATCTTTAAACAGTTAATTTAAACATCACTAAAATTGCTACATTTTAGTTGTTTGCATCTTGCTCTAATGCATGATTGCTTTAATCATTCTTTATATATGTACTTTCTCAAAGACTACTGATGATTGTTACCTTTTTTTTTTGCGATTGTAAATTTTAGATGCTGTCAATTAATTTATTTTCTATGCCAAAAGAAAACAAGAGAGGACCCATAAAAATAATGAGATTGGCTAGATACAGTGTACAGTTTACCAAAACTGTAACTGCTGCAGATCATGGAATTCTAACTTCTTCTCAAAGTCAAACACATTATTACCCTATTATATGTACCAAAAAAATCTTTTAATTTAAAGTCAAGGACCCCTCACACTATCTGCTCCACTTTCTCCTTTTTCCTTCATAAACCCCGCTGCTTTACATCATCTTTTTCATGTGTGTGTGCTTCTTCTTTAACTGAGGGCAGTAATGGAGAAGGAAAACGATGCTTGGTTTGATAGATTTGGAGATGAGGGGCTTGTGAGTGATCTTCTTGACGATCAATCTCCTTTCTTTATGCTGGCACAAGAGTCGACTGATTATGTTCAAGGATCATCAAATATTGAAGAGGCTGACACAAACAGACTTATGGCGACTACGTATTCTGGTCCCCGGGTTGAAGATGTTGAGAATGCTTTATCATCGGTCACAACAACGGAAGACCAAAACCAACAACTACTTCAACAAGCTAGGTAATTTGAATTTTTAAGGTTTCTCTTTGTTACTTCTTGATGAATTTCATTTTTGTTGACGAACAAATAAAAATTTTATTTCTAAGAATACAAAGAGTACTTCAATTCTTTTATAAATTGGATAATGAAAAATATATACAATTAAGCCATGCAATTAATCCTACCCCAAAACCATCATCCAAGGTTCCCAGCCGTAAATGCTTACAGTGAATTGGACAGAGTATCCTCTGTTTTCCTTGTGATGAATTTCTTTAATTTCTTTTAATCAGAAAGGTTACGAACGTTAGGAAATCCACACTCCAGAATGACATATATAACTATGAAAATTAACTTGTTTTTGCAGAATTTCATTGCTGGAAAGAGGATTGAATGGTAAAATAGAGAACAAGTATACTTTAAAGATCAAGTGCTGTGGCAATGGAATGGCTGATGATGGATATAAATGGAGAAAATATGGGCAAAAATCCATCAAAAACAGTCCAAATCCCAGGTAGGTACCCCTCTGTCCTCACTCTTCAGTCTTCATCATTTCTGAAATTAATTTCCTTACTCTGTTTTTCAAACATCTGAATGTGTTCAGTTTCCTAAAATATCTTCTATAATATTTCTCTACCTAGCTAGCTACTTCATAGAAATCAGGTAGATGCTTAATCATCATTTTTTTAATTATCTCCCAGGGGTATAAAAATAAACAAAAAAAAATATCAAATATAAAGTCCCCCTTTTTTTTTTTTCTAAGTTTGAATGTTTCTTAAGTTTCCACTACCTAATTGTTAAGAATTAAAGATTTTAGATCGCATGTTTTAAGTTTAAATCTAAAAAATAAGTAGTGAGAGATTTTAAAAAATGAGAAGATTATTATATCATATAATGTATCATAAGATGTTTAAAATTGAAAAAAGAAAAAAAAAACCTTTATAATAAATGAATGCATTATCCTACAAAATTACATGACTCATCTTGAAACTTGGCTTTCAAGATATCGTTTGGGATTACAATTAAGAGTCTTTTTGGATAAATGTATAATACTTTTAGATATATATGTATATGGTAATTTTTTTTCAAATTACATTTTCTAAAAGTTATAGAAAATCATAATAGACTTATAGAATTTTTATATATAAAACTAAAAACCTCATTTTAGAACTTTCT